GCCCGTCAGACTATGGGGCTCTGCCCGTCTGGGACTTCTCAAGGACAGCAGCGTGGCCCCGGCTGCCACACTACCAGCCCACAATCAGCACACTGATGCTCTCACGGACCCGTGTTCACAACGTGCCTGACAACGAATCCACTTCGCAGATTTGCACTGAGGCCCCCGAGACGTGCCCTGCCTAGGATGTCCATAAAATTCACCTTTCAATTAAAAACCACGCCGATGATAAATCCAAAAGGTGCAAACCACTCTACAGTGAAAAGCAAGCACCCTCACCCCTCCTCCGGGCGACCGGCTCCTCTCACCCGCTCCCAGAAGAAACCATAGCTTTAGAAAATTTGCATCTGTGGCCAACTTAAAAAAAAAAATTCGTATTTCACATACAAATCCAGATTCCCAGCTTTACATTTTTTAAATGCTTATTTATTTTTGAGAGAGACCTAATGTGAGCGGGAGATGGGCAGAGACACACACACAGAATCAGAAGCAGCTCCAGGCTCCGAGCTGTCTGCACAGAGCCCGACGCGGGGCTCGAACTCACGAACTGTGAGATCACGACCTGAGCCGAAGTCAGAGGCTCAACTGCCTGAGCCCCCGAGGCGCCCCTGGAGATTCCCAGCTTTTAGGTAAGAGGAATCACCTGGAGATCCGGCGACAGTCAGCCCACAGGTCCACGCGAAGCTGCTCACCGCAGAAGGGCGGGTGCCCCCCCCCGCCCCCCCGGGGGCCTGGGAGCTTGTCCGGGGCACCCTTTCTGCCATGCCGGGCCCCTGGAGGTTGACAACGAGCCATCTCCCAGCTGTGCTGCGGCGCCAAGTCCCTAACGCTCCAGGAGGAGTTATTAGGTGAGCCGGGCACTGGGGGCGCCCACGGTGCCCACGTGAGCCAGTGGGGGGCAGACACCAGTCTGTGGGGCGCAGCCACTGGACAAAGGGAAACGGAGATGGTGTCGGCGCTCAGGATGCCGGCAGGAGAGACCACGGCCCCGGGCTCAGTGCTCTTCCCCCAGTCGGGAAGATTCCCAGCAGCTGGCGTGGGTGGCGTGGGCGGCCAGGGGTGAATCCCAACCACCTGGGAGAACCCTCCCCACCCCACCCCTGCGGGCTCTCTCACCCTGCCCTGCACACAGCGTTCATTTCGTTCACTGATTCCTTTGCTCTGTAGTTACCCAGACGAGCGGCGTGTTGGACAGTGTCCCACAGACACAGGGTAAGAAACCCAGTTTTCAGGGCACCCAGGAGGCTCAGTCGGTTGAGCATCCGACTGCGGCTCAGGTCATGGTCTCACGGTTGGTGGGTTCGAGCCCCGCGTCGGGCTCTGTGCTGACACCTCGGAGCCTGGAGCCTGTTTCAGATTCTGTGTCTCCTTCTCTCTCTGACCCTCCCCTGCTCTCACTGTCTCTCTCTCAGAAATATATGAAACATTAAAAAAAAAAAAAAGAAACCCAGTCTTCAATGGGAGACCCAATGAATGGGTGGGTTCCTTCCTTCCTTCCGCATGTTAGGCCTGGTTCTAGGTCCTGGGAATACGGAGACAATTTAACATAGACAAAAACACCTGCTCTCATAAAGGCTACAATCTAACGGGCACGGAGGGAACGCAGGGGGACACACAGGAACCTCAAGAAGTAAGCTGTGTATTAGCCGATGGTCAGCGCTGTAAGGAAAAGGCCGGAAAGGGGGTGTGTGGGGTTCCAGAGCTGGGGGAGTGGCCTCTAAAAGGTTGGTCAGAGAGGTCTCAGTAGGAGGTGACATCTGGGTAGAAACCTGGGTGTGGGGGGGTGGATGGGAGCGAGGAGGGCCAGTGTGGCCATATCTGCCCAGACAGGGTCCCGGGAAGGGACTGGGAGGCCAGGCGCTGAGGTGGGAGGGACAGCGTGGCTGCTTCGTGGCGGGAAGGGGCGGCCGGGGGCGGTGGGGGGGATCCTCCAGGGGCACGTGTTTGAGCTTCTGCACCGCATCACCCAAGAAGGTGTGCGTTGTGCACAGCCTTCGAGGACGGCGGCGGTGGCTCCCTGCGGGTGACACGTGGCAGAGTTACTTGCCGTCCAGCACAGCAGCGACTGTGTCCCCTTCCCGGGCAGAACGGGCACGTTTGTGAAAACCGGGGATTCCCTACGCTCAGGGCTCCTTGGCTGAGGGTACACAGCACCCACTTTCACGCTGCGCCCTGGATCCTGACCCTCATGTGCTTGCGGGGCCACGAGTGGTCAGGTCCTTCGCCTCGGACTCGAGTCTCCTGCTTCCTGCTGCGAAAGCGGGGGAGGCTGACTTAACAGTTCCGAGCAGGGTGAGATCTTGGACGCTTTACGGGGACGCAGGGACGAGATCAGAGACAAGGAAGGAATGGACGGGCGGATGGATGGACGGACGCATGAACGAATGGGGTGGGAGTCAGGGGGTACGAGTCCTTCAATACAGAACCCCAGCAATAAAGGGTCCTCAGGGCAGGTGCAGACACAGGCTGGTCACTGCCGTGGGGGAAACCCCGTCTGGGACCACCCACAGGGAGAGGCTGATGGGAGCCCGTTTCCTGCCGCTGCTGCTGCCCTTGGCTGGGGCCAGGCGAGGGGGGGGGGAAGACTCCCAGCAACAGCCCTGGGTGGGGGTCAGTGCTTCCAGCAATGCAGATCCAGGCTGTTGACCTATCCACCCCTGCGCCCCACCCCCACCCCTGCGGGCCCCATGCAGCCCTCTCTGCAGCCATCCTTCAGGCTTAAAGACACAGAGCTTCCCAAGGTCGCAGCCCTGTCCCCCCCCAACTCTGACACAGGGACAGGGACCCTCTCCCTCCGCCACTGACCCACTTGCCCCTCCCCCGCCGGCGCTGCCTGGCAAAGCCCTGATGCTCTTCCCAGGACTCTGACCACTGCTCTCCGCGGACAAAGTCATACCAGCCCGACCACGCGCCCGACCACGCGCCTGACCACGCACCCGGCGCTGTGGTTTGGAGCATGTGATTGGTGGACTCACAGGAGAAATGCAGAGCTAGAGGGGACCCCTCAGCCCACTTGGGGCTGTCCAGATGCCCGAGGCGCCGGGGCCGTGGGGGCCTGCTCTCTGCTGGGCCCTGGGGTGTAGACCTGTTTCCCTTGCTATGTCTGCTACGGCCCAGGGAGGAAACACCTGGATGTGAGAGAGACTGGCTGGTGGAGGGGGGAAGGAGACTATTGTTCTGGGGGGGCAGGGAGCCTGGGAGGAATCTGACAGGGTGTGGTGTAGACCAGGAAGCCCCCGGGGACCAGATTCCTGGCCACCACGTCAGCCACAGAGCAGGTCCCGTGGGGGGCTGTGGGGCCGTGTGGCTGGTGGCGTTTGGTGCTGGACTTGCCTGGACTCCAATCCCCTCTGTGGCTGTCACAACTTGGGCTACTTGCTTAGAACCTTTGTGCCTCAGTTTCCCTATCTTTAATTTTTGTTAATGTTTATTTATTTTTGAGAGAGAGAGGGAGAGCGAGAGAGAGCATGCGAGCAGAGGAGGGTCAGAGAGAGAGGGAGACACAGAATCGGAAGCAGCTCCAGGCTCTGAGCTGGCAGCACAGAGCCCGACGCGGGGCTCGAACTCATGAACCGTGAGATCATGACTTGAGCTGAAGTCAGACGCTTAACCGCTGAGCCACCCAGGTGCCCCAATGCCCCCATCGGATTACTACAAGGACCAATAACATAATACTGGCGGCGCCTGGGTGGCTCAGGTGGTTAAGCACGTGACTCGTGATTTCGGCTCCGGTCATGATCTCATGATTCATGACTTCAATCCTTGCATCAGGCTCTGCGCTGACAGCATGGAGCCTGCTTGGGATTCTCTCTCTCTCCCTCTCTCTCTGCCCCTCCTCCTTCCCTCCTTCTCTCTCAAAATAAATAAATATTTAAAAACTAAGGTGATGCTCACCAGCCTCGTCGAGCCGAGGGAAGGCGTGGAACAGTCACACCTGCAAACCTTCCATGAGCTCAACCTTCAGCCGCCAAACAAAGTCACTAGCTGTTTTCCTGGAACCCCCCTCCTTCACACCTGCTCTCCTGCTGTGGGTTTGCACACTTTGTTCTCAACCAGGAAGCCTGCTGTCTCACCTCTGCACACAAACCCTCCTCTCTGCCCCTCCCGTAAAGCCTCCTGGATCCCATGCTCCAAGGTCACCTTGCCTCGGGACTGCGCGCGCTTTACTTTCTGTTGGGCACTCGTGCCGCGTCTTTTTTTTTTTTTTAAATTTTTTTAATGTTTTATTTATTTCTAGGAGAGAGAGAGAGAGAGAGAGAGAGACAGCGTGAGCAGGGGAGGGTCAGAGAGAGAGGGAGTCACAGACTCTGAAACAGGCTCCAGGCTCTGAGCTGGCAGTCAGCACAGAGCCCGACGCGGGGCTCGAACCCACGAACCGCGAGATCGTGACCTAAGCGAAAGTTGGACGCTTAACCGACTAAGCCACCCAGATGCCCCGCTCGTGCCGCGTCTTAAGGCCCCACCGCTGGCCAGCTTCTCGAGCCCCGGGGCCCGGGCTTGCTCGGCCTCCAGCACTGGCTGCGCAGCCAGAAGATGCTCGATCGTGGGCAGAAGTAGCCAGGCCAGCGTGATCGTCCCCTGGCTCCCTCCCAGGAGGGACAGACAGACAGATGAGGTCCCAGAAGCGGTGTAGACGGGACCAGAAGGATGGGCATTGAGACGCGTATCCGGCCCACCTGTGAGTGCAGGCGAGCATCTGGTGGGACAGTGCGTGGGGTCTCCTCATCGGGCGTGTGCAATCTGTTAGGATTCGGAGAAGAACGGGGCGGTCCCCTCGCAGGGTCGGGGTGAAACGATCCTAACTGGGCAGAGTGATTCTGGGGGCCGCCGCCTCTTGTAAGCCTTCTCAGCAAGCTGGGCCTCATGTACAGAAGAGCCAGAGGCATCTCCCCCCGCAGGGCTCCCTGCTGGCCTCCCTCCTCCGGGCCCCTCCACCTGGTCTCCCCAGATCCGCCTCTCCCGGCTTCCTCCCTGGACACCTTCCCGCAGCCAGCACCTACCGTAGCTCAGCTCGAACTCGGTTCCCTAAGACTTCCCACTGACCGTCTTCCCACAGGGAGGCTGCCGGCTCCAGAGAGCTCGATGTTTTCGAGGGGCCCCCGCGGGGGTCTCCGGTCCCTGCTGCAGCCTGCAGATCTGCAGAGAAAGGCCCAGCGTGGCACAGGCCCGACTCTGTCCCTCCTCTTCCTTCCCCTTCCCCGTGGCCCTCAAAGCTCCTCCCAGAGCACATCCTGCCGTGAGGCTGCTTTCTGCAGAAGCTCTGTGGTCACCCGCGGTCACTGGAGCCTCTGTATTTATTGCTACAGGGCAGGAGGGGGCACCTCCATAGAGGCCCTTCTGGTGCTGACTGAGCTGTGAGGTGGGGGGCCCTGGCTCCCTTCTGCGTTCCAGACACCCCAGCCGCCATCCACCTGGCACTTTCAGTTTAAGGTGTATGAACCGAGCCCTCCCCGCCCGGCCCCAACCAGACCCACCTGTCTGCTCCTCTCCTGAGCATCAGACCCTGGGGCATCATCCTCAACGACCTCCCTCTCTCTCCCCTGTTCCATCTAAGTGCAACCAAGTCCTATGTCATAAACCGTCCCCCTTTCCCACCCCCACAGCTGTCACCAGTTCATCAGGCCACCATCGCCCTCCTCCCGAGGGACCGTGAAAGCCTGATCCATGTCCACGTCACGGCCAAGCACCCCTCTCTGATGCTGAAACGCAAATCTGATTGCGTTACGCCCACAATACAGCCTTCGATGGCTCCCTGGTACCTTCAGGAGAAAGGCCGGACTCCATGGCGTGATTTGCGTGGCGCATCCTGACCTGGTGGCTTCTTGATGCCCAAGCCCAGGCTGTGACCCGTCCCAGGAGTCCTGATCACCTACAGTTCCAAGATGGTCCCAGTGTGCCGTGGGTCCCCTTCAATCCTCCGAGATCCAGCAGAGAAGAGCACAAACATAGGTCACAGAGGAAGGAGGAAAGTGAGGCGCCTGGCAGCTGGGAAAGGAGAGTGTCCAGGACATGGTGGTCAGTGGTGTCAAAGACTGCAGAGAGGGAGTGGGTGGAGGGAGCGACAAAACACCTGCTGACCTTGGCACTTAGGAGGGAGCAGCGTGGGGGAACAGATCACCTCCAAGGTGGGGACCTGTTGGCTAGCTCATCATATTCTTTCTTTTCCTCACAATTTGAAGCCAGGCGATCTTTTGGGAAATCTTCTACACATTTCTAGACCTTTGAAAGGCTCACAGATGCTCTGCCATCACCTGGTTTGGCCTAATGGTAAATGGCTCTGGACAGAGACAGATGGAGGACAGCATTGTTTGAACACCTGGATTCAGCCGTACCTGCAACCCTCATGCCTAGATCTACTCCTCCTGATTGTTGGACTATGTGATCCAATGAATTCTCCCCTCTCCCCTTTTTGAGTAAGAGTGTTTGACTTGGATTTCTGGGTTCAGAAATCGGTTCCTCCTTCGCAACCAAAGAAGTCACTGATATTTTTTCTGCAAGGGCTTGCATGGCCTCTGCTCCGTCATCCTCACTTTGCAGAAGGGGGCATTTGAAAAACAATAGCAATAAAAAAAAGAGTCCAGAAATTTAAATTATCTACTCCATGGCTCAATCTCCCTGCCCTATCATTTTTCTGTGCCCCCTCATGTGACTGGAATGATAGTCTATCTTGTATCTTTGTACTTGAGTTCTTAGGTCATGTGTCTGCCCCATTTGTCTACACCCTCCCCCCAATAAGTTCTGGGGAAGCAGAGGCTAGGTCTTAGCATTATCCTACTCATCATGGCATAAGAGAATGTTTGGCTTGTTAAATACAACAAATGGATGGATGGATGGATGGATGGATGGATGGATGGATGGATGGATGATGGATGAATGGATGACTGGCTGGATGCTTGAGTGGATGATGGACGGATGAATAGATGGATGGATGGATGGATGGATGGACAGACGGATGGATGGATGGATGGATGATGGATGAATGGATGGATGGATAGACAGACGGATGGATGGTTGGACAGACGGATTGATGGATGGATGATGAATGAATGGCTGGCTGGCTGGATGGTTGAGCGGATGATGGATGGATGGATGGACGGAAGGACAGATGGATGGTTAGATGGCTGGATGGCTGGATGAATGGACAGATGGATGGATAGATGGATGGATGGATGGATGGATGGATGGATGGATGGATGATGGATGAATGGATGACTGGCTGGATGGTTGAGTGGATGATGGACGGATGAATAGATGGATGGATGGATAGATGGTTACATGGATGGATGGTTACATGATGGATGGATGATGGATGAATGGCTGGCTGGCTGAATGGTTGAGTGGATGATGGACAGATGAATGGACAGACGGATGGATGGATGGTTAGATGGATGGACAGATGGGGGAATGCATGAGGAAAATGGGTAGGTCTGGGACAGGACAAAGGACCAGGGACTCTGCCGCTGCAGGTCTGGCCCTCAGCAGCAGCCAGGCAGTGTGGTGGCCACAGCGGGCAGCCCCGTCTCCTTATCAGCGTTGGCTTAACTGAATCGGAAATCACAAGCTGACATGGGCCCCCTGTGGCTTCACCCTCCTCTTTCAACAGCTGCTGTCTCGACAGCCACACTGGGTGTGGCAGCCAAGGGCTGCTTGGGGACCATGGATGGCCCCAAAGCTGTCCCCTGCAAGGAGGGGCTGAGGTGCCTTCATGTGTGATGGGCAGCCAGGGACAAGAAAGGAGGAAGAGAAAGTGGAGACGAAGGACTGAGGGTCGATAACTGTCCCCTGCACCATCCGACCATCCCCAAGGTGGGGGCACTGCCACTTTGATCCCAGGGACACCTTGCCTCTTAGGGCGGAATCTGCTTTCCAGGTGTGCTGAGGCCAGGCTTCCCAGGTGCACCAATGTCCCAGGAAGAGCCCCTCCAGTCCCTTCTATTCGGGGAAACACTTCCTGTTATTTTCACATCCATTACGAAGCAGCCAAGAGCTTGAAATACATTAAAATTTTAAGTTGTAAACAAATTTAGGGGCGCCTGGGGGGCTCAGTCGGTTAAGCGTCCGACTTCGGCTCAGGTCATGATCTCGCGGTTCGTGGGTTCAAGCCCCGTGTCGGGCTCTGTGCTGACAGCTCGGAGCCTGGAGCCTGCTTCAGATTCTGTGTCTCCCTCTCTCTCTGACCCTCCCCTGCTCACGCTGCAAATGCAGAATTCATCATCTTGTCATTTTCTAAGGAATCCACCCACAGAAAGTCCTAAGAAGCAATGTAGATCTCACTGAGGATTACAGGGGCGGGAAGGCGGGGCGGGGGAGATGGGAAAGGCATGTACATTACACGTCTCTTAGCAAACAATTTAAAAATCCTCTGCGGATCTCTGTTGTCCACATACCCTTTGTCCGTGCCAACCCTTGGACTGGTGGGCGGGGGGGAGGGGGAGGGGGAAAGGGCTCTTCTGCTTTCTCCTCTCTCTCTGACCCTCCCCTGCTCACGCTGCANAAGGCATGTACATTACACGTCTCTTAGCAAACAATTTAAAAATCCTCTGCGGATCTCTGTTGTCCACATACCCTTTGTCCGTGCCAACCCTTGGACTGGTGGGCGGGGGGGGAGGGGGAGGGGGAAAGGGCTCTTCTGCTTTCTCCTCTCTCCCCAAGTGACTCTGAGTCAGAGTCATGCATTTCTGGTTTCTCCTGCCCAGGCTTCTTCACAAAATGAAGCCCTCTTAGAATTGTGTTCAGGGAGGGGCGCCCAGGTGGCTCGGTTGGTTAAGGGTCCGGCTCTTGATTTCGGCTCAGGTCATGATCTCACGGCTTGTGGGTTCGACCCTTGCATCAGGCTCTGTGCTGACAGTGCAGAGCTTGCTGGGGATTCTGTCTCCCGCTCTCTCTGCCCCTCCCCGCTCGGGCTCTCTCTCAAAAATAGAGAAACATTTTTTAAAAAAAGGAAGTGCATTGAGACTACTTCCAACTCCACATGTTATAGAAATATATCTAACTTCGTGTATCCAGCTACCTCAGGAGCTAGGACAGTTAGGGACAGGGCTCACCTACGTGGTGGGGAGGGCACTTGAGCCAGGGGACGCCCAGTCCAGCCAGTCCAGCTTCCCAGGGAGCACTGCGGGCCGAGCCGAACGGAAAACTGGCCACGCTCCTCGGCTCCCATCCCCGCTCAAGGAAGACCCAGGCGGCGGCGGCATGGCTAGTACCCACTTGATGGGCACCTCTGCTTCTCGTGGGTTCCCTCCAGCCCTCACGGCCACAGCCCAGGGAAGCAGGCAAGGCAGGACCACATCGTGCTCGCGAGTAGTGGTTCGCCAGGTGAGGTCCCTGAATGAGCAGCATCAGTATCACCTGGGAACTTGTTAGCTACTAGCAGCGTCTGCTGTGGGTGCAGAGAGGGAGGAGGACTAGGCGTGTCCGGAACTTTCCCTCCTTACCTGTGGCAGTGCTATCCTGTGGGGTGTGTGTGTGTGTGTGTGTGTGTGTGCAGAGTTAGGAACTGGTTATAAGAAGGAGGTTAATGCTTTATATCCATCCACTCGTTCTTCCAGACAGTCTTCTTATCTTTGAGGAAAGAGGGGGTTTTGATTCTCAACACCATCAATGTGTGTGTGTATTATTATTATTTATTTATTTATTTATTTATTTATTTATTTATTAGAGACTGTGAGGGAGGGAGAGAGAGAGAGAGAGACAGACAGACAGAGAGAGACTCCCAAGCAGGCTCCACGCTCAGCTTGGGGGTGGATCCCATGTCCCTGGGATCATGACCTGAGCTGAAATCAACAGTCAGATGCTCAGCCTTCAGAGCCACCCAGGCGCCCCCTGCAGTTTCATTACAAAAACGACACACATATTTACAGAAACCCACAGGGTCAAAAAGAGCTCCCGGCCCCGCCTTCCCGGTGTCTTTTTCATCATCGCTGTTGAAGGCCTGGGGTGATGACACAAATTGATCTTCCACTTGCTTTGTTTACTCGGAGATCAGGAGAGACGAGTAGCTGAGGATCAGCCACATTCTTTCCTTAAATTTAAGTGTCTGCGTTTTCCGGCCCCAGTAACATATTGACGTGAGTCAAGATACAGAGAAAATCGGCCCACAAGCCGGCCTTCAATTTGGGGAAGAAAATTTCCCTCCCCAGGATGGTCTTT